TCCAGGGATGGCTGAAATCTCCATTTCTCCAGAACAAAGTGCAAAGTCGAGTGTTCACAAACAAGATGCAGAAGAGCACAGGTAGAAGGGCAGAAAGATTGGAGAAAATGAGATAAAAAAACCATGGGAGGTCAGGAAAATATGTTCATTCTTCCCTGGAGGGAGATGCTGCATCATTGCAGGAGCAGCAGCCACACCACATCTTGCAGGACTGTGAGAAGATCCCTCCAGCCCTTGTCTCACTGTTTGCTCATGAACAGGCCCCTGGGTCTGAGTGCAGGGAGAGGTGAAAGAATGGCTGGAAATACACTAAATAATCCCCAGAGAAAAGGATTTTACTGCCCTTTCTATCTCCAGAGTATGCCAAACCATCTGAGGATGATCAGAGTCCTTTGCCTGAATCTCAGGGCACTCTTGTAAAGACAGGCTCTTCCTAGGCACTCTCACAGACCTGTGATGTATTCAGTGTTCCAGAGATGATACCAAGAGCAGGATAACCTCACTGTGTCCAATAGAACCTTCCAGAAGAGATTCCCACGTGTCAGTGCCCCATCAGGGCAGGACAGGAGTATCCTCCTCCCAGATCCCAGCACAGCACACTGGCCAGGGGACTTCCTCAGTGCCCAAGTTCAGCACATGAAATGTAAAAATGAGAGAAATTGCAGATTTATTCTCCCTCTGCTTTCAGGGACATTCCATCAAATTTCCTTCTCCCTTCTCCTCTCTGCACTGAACTTCAGATGGAAGCATCTGGATCAAAGAGAATTATCTCTAAACAACAGTTGAGTTGTAGTACATTTTCAAAGACCCAGGTTTTATTAATCACAGAAGACCTTCTAGAAGTTTTCTTGGGATCATTTTTAATTGCAACCAATAATCCTTTCCCCATCAGCCAATGAGAAACAAGCCAAGACTCCCCCAAACTTCTGCACAGATGTGTCTTACAGAAATACAACAATTCTGGAGACGTGGAAGTGACGTTTTTACCAAGCTGAGGGTTTTGTCCACAGTAACTTAAACTAATACAGCCCTAATTTCCTTCTGGAAGCTACCTGAGCACTAAGCACACTTGATGCTGTTGGTGTAATGTTGTTTAGAGTAGTCAATAATTGCATTTGATTTCACATTGTACTTTTCTGTCCTGATATTACTTGAGGTCAGAGGACACCTTGCCATGCTGTGAGCCCAATCTCTGCTCCTGCATGTCCTGTGCCAGACCACTGTTTTCATCAAAACACACCAATACAACAAGTCAAAGAGCAAGCCCAGAAATTCTCTCTCCCTGGAGCATCTGAAGAACCAGGCAGATTAAAAAGCAGCATTCCCTGCAGTGTTACTGGGTTAGCATCCAGGGTCATGTCCAGGCTGCTAATCCAGAAGTTACCTTCAGCATGTGGTTAGTAAAAAGGAAAGATAATATGCAGGGAAAAAGAGGCAGAGGGTGACAGATTGATTCCAGGCATGTGTGTCCCGTAATTCTCATAAAACTAGAATGAAAGCTGAGCCCATTTAACAGCTTTAAAAATCAAGAGTCTTATAAATGCCCAAGAGCAGATGAGGGACTTCAGGTGTGAAGATTTGGACCAGTTAGCTCAATTCTGATCTCTGCAGATGAACTCCAACAGAAATCTTCATTGTTTTCATCAGCAGAACCACACTGATAAATGTGAGTAAACTACAGGATATTTCCTAATCAATTTCTGACAAATAAAGATATTGTAGCTGCACTACTCTAGTGCCAAGGAAAAATAGTGGAAAGGTATGAACTTCAGAAATGTAAACTTGAGTTGTCATTAAAAATCAATTTTCATGATAAATTTAATTCACATTTCATAGAGAGCTGTGTAATATCAATAAAAATGCTTTAATAATTGCTGTGCTGGCACACAGTACAGTGCAAGACATAAAGAGATATAAATTTTTTGTAATTTAGAAGATGGGGAACTAAACACTGTTTTTCAAAAGAAACCATTTCTCAGGGAGAAAAATGAATGTTGGAGGAGGATGTAATTCATTAGGGATTCTACTCCACCCCTTTTCACAAAGACTGCTCTGAAATTAAAACTTTCAGAGATCAGGTTTCTAATTTATTCGTAGACTTAAAAGGCCAGAAAAGACCAGGATCAGGTAGTCTGACCTTCTGGATAACCCAGGCTATTAAATTTCCTGTAGTTCTCTCTATATCATAACCTGTGTTGGGCTAAAACATAGTTTCTTTTAAACTTTGATTTTAAATGGTGGGAAAAAACCCTGTTCTTGTGTTTCTTTTACGTGATTTTTGGTGAAGGTGGGAGAGAAGGAATGATGTAAATTGGTTGTTCCTTGTGACATATCAGTAGAACTGGTACAACACGTGATAGTACAACATCACTAAATTATAAACAATTGGTGTTTTCTGGTAATAAAAGCTGACTAATTTTCAGGGCAGAGAAATATGCTACCTACATAGCAATGTGCTTTTGTGAACAATTTTTGAAGGGATCAAAAGGCAGGTATATGCTCCTAAATCTCTTAGTCACATTAAAAAAAAAAACCAACCAAAAACCCCATGATCAAATTGTAAAGCCATCTGAATAATAGTTTTCTCATTTCCATGTAACTGAGGTCAGAATTTCACCCCAGAAGATCAGTCCACTTCATCCAATGCTAACTGAAGAACTGTAATTTGCAGTTGGTGCTTTGTTTCCACAGTGAATATAATTAATTACCTTTACTCTGATCTTGCCATTTATCACCATCATTTACAGTTTCACAATCAATACAGTATTTTTTTCTATCCACATAACTTGGGATCACATTTTCAAATGAAGCTTCCTGGAACTCAGTGACACCTGCTTTACCCTGTGTTTATGAATGCTGCCATTCACCAATGTTCATGCTGTGGGATGAGGAATCTCGGGCAATTAGAAACACAAGTTTAATCAGCTTAGGGTGTTTATTAAGAAATCCTAAGGAATCAGCAGGATCCAAAAATGCTTGAGTTTGTCTGGCCATCCATGATAAACATGCACAGCTTTATGGCTCATGACTGTCCTGTTCTCCAGGGACTGTGTTTTCCACTGCTGTAAATTACTGTAGATCCACGTGAGTGAATAAATCAAGACTCTGAAATTCTTATCCCCTGCATCGTCTGATTTTTTCCCCTGATACAGTTTGTCATAGATACTTCAGAGCTGTATTATAACCAACAAGAAAAACAAGAAATATAGATGAATTCGTTTTTAATTTTTCTGGGGAAGCCTGGACTTCAGCTGATGCCATCCAGCTTTTTCTTTCCCCCCCAGTTCCCAGACTTCCTGAACTCTAAGTTATTTTTAAGCAATAGCTGCCCATTACACAGTTATTTCTACCAGCTACAAAAATTCAAACTTCAACTTCTTCAGGACCAGTTAATTGACCAACTTTGTCATTGCCCCCTGATCTCCTGGTGCCAGTGAGGATGGTTACAGCAATGCTCCAAACACAGGAGCTAAAACAGCACAGAAGTGAACACAGGAACACAGCCCTGACCCCACAGGTTGGATCAGGCTGATCAGGTCCATCAGATCTGTCTCCTGCTTTGTTTTAGAAACTGTTTTAGGTTCTGAGGCATTAAAATGTACATCCCCCTCAGCCACTCTGGAACCAATATTCTGGTTACTCGGAGAGTTCTCATTATTGAGGACCTCAGAGCTGCCTCGTGGCAGTGAGTTGCACTGCCTGGGTTAGTCCCTTCATTTGTCAAAGGAACAATTGTCTCTTCTCTGAGTATTTTGTCTTGAGGTTGTTCTGGAAACCTGCCTGCCCCTGGGTTTCAACTAACTACTTTTAATACTGACTTTATCTTTAGTCTTGAACTATTTGGATTTTTGAAAGGCCACAGGTTTCTGTTCTTCCTTGTTGGTTCAGTTTGGATGCTCCTTCTTCCATAACTGTTTCTGTTTCCAGCCACCTCCTAGGAAAACACCTTTTAAAACAACAGGTGCAGCCAGACAATCCTCTCTGATAGGCAATACAATTTGGATAAAATTAGTTTATTTTTTTGGAGCTGTTTTAAATTCCTCTGCCATCCACACAATCACCCTGGATTTTATTTTGTATTAGAATGTTGGTTCTCATTACTTGCTATTCTTATAAATGCACTGTTATGAGGAGGGTGGAAACAATAATAAAAAGGCTTTTCCCCCTTTTCTCTTGTTTTTTTTTCTGTTCCCCTGATCAAACTCCTTCTAAAACAAAAATAATAGTCTGCGAGACAGACTGCTATTTTAAACTACCCATCTCCTAAAAGGATGATAACCTCAAAAGGCACATTTGCCTCTGCTGAGATTCCTGTGTGGACTGAACTTAAAAATTCCATCTCTGGAGCTTAATGCCAAAGCACAGTGCAGGTTACTCTTGCTAGAAGCAAGGTTCTTGCCATTTCCTCAAGCAATGAATTATCTCCTGATATTCAAGTTAGTTCAAAATATCTTTTCCATTTAGGTATGCCAGGGGCTAGTCCACAGAAAACGGCTTCTAGTGTTTTTACAGTTGGAAATTTTATTCTGTTCCAATGCCTAATGATGACATGGAAATTGCAATTGTTTCTTCTGGTCTGTGTTAGCCTTTCTGTCTTCGTTATTTAGGAACAGAAAGCTTTTGGTATCTGTCTCAAATCAGAAGATTATAGGTCTGTTATTACATGCTGGAGAAGTACCCTTTGCGTGGGTGTTAATTACCGAGTATCCAGTTGAGTACACTAGTCATTAACCTCAAAAACAGTGACTCAGCAAGGTACCAGAGCGTAGGGAAAAAAAATAAAGAGGGAAAAAAGCGTGTTGTTTTCTCACACCAGATGCCAGGCAAGATGTATTTCTAGAGGAAAGCTAACAGGCAGCCGAAGAACAAATGTGTGTGGAGGTCTGTGGTATTCTTTCTGCTAAGATGACTTGAAATACTCAGCTGGAGGCAAGAGTGCACTGGAGAAAGAACTTCCTGAGGATCTGTCTGATACTCCCAAATCAATTAAGGTTTGTGGAAATGCTTCTGCTGGATCAGACCCAGAAAAGGGATAATTCACCTGTATCATACCCAAGAAGGTGACCTGTGATTTCTAATGCTAGACAAATATTACAAAGAACAAAAATGTTTTGCAATGGAGGATGAGTTAGATGGATGGGTTTTAATCTTATTTTTTTCCATAGATATGCAAGTCTGGGGATTTGTTTCTACAAAGAATGCGAAATGAATCACGTATCGTGTCTGTTATCCACATCCATGCATTTGAGAAGAAAACAGACTGAGCAGACTCTCAGCCACGCAATGAATGTCTGCAGAAATGTATCTGACTACAGGTCTCTTAAGTCACTTTAATGGTGATGGATATGCAGGAAACTATAATCAATTACATTGCCCTGAAAATTACACAGTTATTTTCAAAAAACCCCAACAGGTAACAGTTGTTTGACACAGCAGAGCTTAATATTTCTTGGAAGACAGAGATCTTGAGCTTGCTGTACACAAATTGTAACACTTCAGCAATACTAGTGCAGCTTCTGTATAGTCAGATTGTATAGAACTGGCAGGCAGCTGTGAGACAAAAGAACACAAAGTAAGATAGAGAAATGCATTTGTTAAACAGCAAAGAAAATCTGAACAGGGAGATCTAAGGTCAGATTAGGAGATGTTCTCTAGGTTGATATTTGAGAATGTTTAAAAACTAGCCATGTGCCTCTGTAATGAGCAGAGTGGCCTTCTGTAAGGGACACGCTCTCACACTCTCAGGTTACTGACAGCTTTGTGCTTCCTCCTCTTCTGGCTCACACCAGTTTAAAAGTCACTGTGTGCTGTCCAGGAGATGTGTGTGCAGGGAGGTGGCAAAGGTGTCACTTGCTTTCTGGATACATAGGGTGTATCCGATTCCCAGTGTCGCACATAATCACTCAATACTCACAGAAAACATATTAAAAATATTGCTCAATTGGTGGCCTAAGGGTACAGAGTAAACAACATATTACACAGTCAAGCAGAGCCTCATCCCCCGAGAGTCAGAGCAGCCCAGAGGGAGAATATTGGAAAAATACACTCAGCCTGTGTGTTCCCCTTGCTGGGGATCTCAATGGAGGAATGATTAGCAGCTACAGGAGACAGACTTGGTTCTTGTGCAGAAGGTTCTTTGTGGAGAAGGAGTATTAAATCATTTCTCTTTTTCTACCTGCCCTTCCAGCCTCCCCCAATATATTTGAAACTACACAATAGCATGATTAGCTGGTAGATGGAGGAAAACCAGTGCTGTGCTTCCAGAGCTCCTCGTCTCCATTCTGAACATTGAGACTTCACACACTGCAGTTTCTTCCCCATCTTGTTCCTCGCTCTTCCTCTGTCCTTCTCTCTTCCTACCAAATGTTCCGATTCCCACATGGGTCTACTCCTGATGCTCTCCCCAAACAGCTCCACACGCTCTTCTCCTTCCATGCTATTCCCTCAGCAGGAATCTTCCAGCTGGGCAGGAGACAGAAGCACCAGGTGAGAAGGGTGACCATAAGAACCGGCTAAATAAAGCAAATTTGCTCGTTCCACAGCTCTTTTGGTGCTAAGGTGACACAGGTAATATACTTCTAATAGCACAGAGCCAGGATCATGAAGAGGGGAGACAACAAAGTCGAGGCTGATACAGGAGAAAGGCCACACAGAGTGGGAAGGGCAGAGCCAAGGACAGGTGAGCTGCAGGTGGGTGGCCACAAGTTGTTCTGCCTGCAGCCTCAACATCTGTGCCAGCCCCGTCAGAATCACCCTGGCAAGGGCCGCATCCCGGGGCACAGGGGTGCGAGCTCCCCTCAGGGACAGCAGCAGGACACAACCCGAGGCTGGCCAGGGACAGCAGCCGGGGCCGTGAGGAACGAGCACCTGAGGCAGCCCCGGGCCGTGGGGAAGGAGAGCAGGCAGCAGGATAAGGGCTGGACCCAGAATCGCCGTGCCACAGAATAGCTGCGCTTGGAAAGGACGTCTGGACATCATCCAGTCCAACCCCCCGCCACCGCAGGGCCACCCGGAGCAGGTGGCACAGGGACACAGGCTGGCTTTGGAATGACTCCGGAGAGGGAGACTCCGCGCCCTCCACGCGCAGCGTGTTCCCGCAGGGACATCCCTGCCCGCCCGGAGGGACGGGGCGGTGTGAGGGGAGCACCGTGCCCGAGGGGCGGTGTGAGGGGAGCACCGTGCCCCAGGGGCGGTGTGAGGGGAGCACCGTGCCCGAGGGGCGCTGTGACGGTGCCGCCGTGCCCGAGGGGCGATGTGAGAGGGGCACCGTGGTGTGAGGGGAGCACCGTGCCCGAGGGGCGGTGTGACGGTGCCGCCGTGCCCGAGNTTCTCGGGCGTCGCTTCCCTCAGCCCGGGCCGGCCTCGCCTCTCTGCGTTCCCTCCAGCCGCCCACTCGTGGAGCCGCTGTCAGCCCAGCCAGGGTCGCGGTGCTGATGCTGCCACGGAAGGGGACCTCGGGCTTGTTTGTTTTAAAGGCTTTGTTGTTTGCAAGTTGTGATCAGGAGAAGTTTGCTGTGGTGAAGAGCAGATTTATTTGGGTTTACGTGCACTGGAGTCACAACTGGAACGATGATGAACTGTCAAAATAAATGTGGAGGTGAAACTGATTGTTCAACAATAACAATAATAAAAAAATCATCTGTGTTGCTTTTGAGATGTTTAAATCTTTAGCCAGGAATACTTAGTGGCATTTTCAGGGGTGTTTTTTTGTTTTATTTTGTTTCTTGATTTGTAGCCAGATTTTGTCTGGTTACACCTGTATCCATCCACACTGTGCCTCCAACAGAACTTACTCTGGTGTAATTGAGGGAGGATTTGTTCACTCCAGCAAACCTCCACATGGTTGGTGTTAGACTCCTGTAAGCAATAAGGAATAAATGCTGAGGTAATGTCCAGACTCAATTTATCCACTATTTCTCACCTGGTTGAGCCCATCCACAAGTGCCCTGCTCAAACCAGAAAGACCAAAAGTGTGAATATGTGTTTATCTGGCAAGAGAGAAATTTGTATGTTTCTGTTTCAGATAAAAATCATTTTTTCTTCAAACAAAGCCCTAGTTTGTGTCATTAAGCATTTTTATGGGAATAAGGACTTGAAAATTTGGCTGTAATCCTTTTTGGAGAGGAAATGAAGAGCAAGTTTAGAACTTGGTAGGGCATTTTAGAAAACGTCTTTATTCTGTTTCACTTCTTATTTGTTTATTTCCAACTTGAAAATAATTGCTGTGCTCTCTTCTCTTTACCAAGCCAAGCATGGCCACTACTTGCATCCTCTCCTAATCCTGTATCACTAAAAAAGGAGCACAGATACATTACCCAGTTCTGCCAGCTAATACCACGTTCAGATAAAACAATAGCTTGCACACTGAGACCTGACATACTTTTAATGTTCATGTGATAGGTGGCACGTTTTGACCTAACGATTTCACGCTGCGTTAAGAAATAATGTCACAAAATCATTGTTAGGTGCTTTTTCCTGCAGCTCCGTAGGTACGTTGAGAAACTCGTTTCTGGAGATCAGAGGGAGATGAAGGTGTCTGAGGCACAAGAATTGCTCTGTGTGTCTCATGTGGCAGCCTGGAGTTTTTATTGTTATCGTGGTGTTGGTTGTGAGTGGCTGGTGGAGTGAGATCCCTCGGCCTTGGTGAGATGTTTAGTGTCAATGTGTTTGAGTTAAGAAGCTTTGGGTGCTGTGCAGAGGTGTCCTGGTGTTCACACACCTCATGCTGTGGGCCTGCCCCCAGCTCCTTGGAGGCCATGGAGATTTTCCCCAGGTTCTACAAGACACTCGTGCCCAAAATGTGGAGAAGACTTTGTGAGCGAGGATCTGAGGCCACGGTTCAGAAGAGGGGGCACAGGTGGATGGTGGCTCATGCAGGAGGGGACAGCCACAGCAGAGAGGGACAAGGCTCAGCTCTTTGCTTCTGGGGACATCTGTGCAGCTGTAGGGCTGTGGGCTGAGTGTGAGGTGTCACCCCAGGACTTTCTGATGTATCAAGTTGCAAAAAAAAGGAGCAAGAACTTCCACAGAGCTTGATTTCACCTGTCTTACTAAATGTTTTTGTACCAGGCTGTGTGAAGCTTGTGAATTGCAAAGGGACACAAATGCTGCACAAGAACAGAGCTCCCATGCCACTGTCACTTCAGGAGGAGTCATCCAATCTGTTATGGTTATGTTGATAAAAGTTCCCATCCCTTGAAGCAAAACTTTAACCAGCTCCCACTCTGGGAACTGCTTTTCTGTCCAGGTGTCAGTAGCCTTCTCACACTTCTCAAGTGTAAATTGTTTGGTGTTGAAATTGAGGCCACCTGATTCTGGTTATCTGTCTCTGCATTTATGGCACCCCACAGCTTGCTCTCTCTTATGTTTGTGTGGGGAATACTCAGGAAGGGGAGTTAAATGAAGACAGGGGGATCTCACTGTGGATTTTTTCCTTCTTGGAGTAACAGTTGGGCAATCCCAGTGTTATTGCAGATGGGGCTGGACTGATCCTTACATGGCCTTGCAAGAGTTCAGTGTAGCTGTGTGCAATATGGGCCTGTCAGGGGACTGTACTGGGGACCATTCTGGAGCCTTGACCTTCAGAAACCAGCCCTTAATCTGTAGTAAAGCAGCTGAGATGTGGCCCTACAATTTGATCTGATTCACCATATTCTGCTGTGAGTGGCCTTGCCGGCACTGACAGCAGCCAGCCCTGTGGTTCCCTCCAGAGCAGTTGCTCACAGGTTGCTGCCCTGAGCTCCCCAGATGTCCTGGAAGAGCAGGAGGGCACAGACACTCTGTACCTGTGTTTGTGTGACCGGTGACTTGTCCAGCTGATTGCTTTTCCCAGCTTGGAGGAGCCTGTGCTGCACTGGTGGTGTGTTTGTTACCTGCAATAATAATAGCGTGAGGTTCTCCAAACCCAGGTGGGCATTTTAGACACCAGTCTGACAGGAAAAGGTCATCTCTCACAATGTGATAAATCAATTCATTGGAGTGACTTTCTCCATGATGTGCTCTGGCAGTGCTGGCAAGGAGGATTCTGCAGAGCTCTCTGGTGAGGTGAGGTTTCAGGAAGATGTTTGTGTCTCTCCTACCCCCTGGTGCAGAGGTGCCCAGGCAGGAGACTGATGTGACATGGCTGTTGACGTGCCGTGCTGAAGATGGTTTGCTGTGATGAGAAAGGAAATCTGACCTGAATGTTAAGATGGCTTAAAGCCTGGGAAGTACTTTATGTTTCCTGAGTCAGCTCTGACCATCCCTATGGAGTAAGCAGTTGGTTTCAGGTTTTCTGAACACTGAGTAAGGTAATGAGTTTTTTCTGCGGATGTTTGTTTAGCTTCAACTCAGGCAGCTCATCTGACGAGCCTGAAATGGGACACAGATATTTATAAAGCACAGATAGAAGTGGGGTGGGAAGCGGGGGACTCGCATTTAAATGGGGATTCTTGTTTGTTAAAACTGTCACAATTTCTCACTGTGCATTTGCTGAGCTAATTTCTGTTCAGCACACAGGCATTACTCTGTTTTGAGACCATGCTAAATTATCGTCAGGTAAAGCCCCATATAATTAATTACAAATGAGAAATGCTGACAAATATTTGTCAAGGAGCTGTTTAATGAGCTTCAAATTCTGTGTCAGATGATTCCATCCACCTAGTGTAAATAATTTTTAAGCAATTGTTCCACGGTGTTTGTGTGGTTTAGGCAGATGTTAGCTGTAGCACTTTTACAAGTTGCACAGATAGTATGAGAATAGATGGAGTAAAGCTTAACAGATCACCTGGGCTTTAAAATAGAGACACCACAGAACCAAAATGTGCAAGTACCAGGAAGGTTTTGAAGATCCTGTGGTCTGGGTTGTGTGTCTGTGTGCACTGACAGTGTGGCTCTGTGCATGCATCTGAATGCAGGAATTTGCTTTAATAACTGGTGTGTGATACTCATCTCTAGGCATGGCCCACTGAAAATAGAAATAGCTTGGCTGTGTGACAGCACAAGCTTTGAGCTGGACACCAGAATGACTGGCTTGCTGCATGCTTTTCCTCCCCAAATCGTTCCCTTTTCACCAATCTTTTAGCTGGCCTGATTAGCCTGTTTGCTTAAATTCTTTGAGATTTCAAGCAAGTTTGTTCTGCCTTGTCTCTATCCCTTCATATTTCAAAAGGAATTTGATCTTCCTGCCTTACCACAGCAGCATCATAACATCAGGTGTTTGTTTAATGCTGTCAGCAAATCTTGGTGGCCCTTCTTGTGTTTATTGACTGCTTAGACGCTTAGGTGTTTGTCCCAGTCTCTGTTTGCACATGCAAGTCTGCAGATTTAGACCAGCAGAGAAAAGAAGGGAGTAACAAAATGAAAATATCTGGGGATGAGGAGAGGCATTAAGCTTTGTGTGACACTGGGCTATCATACGAAGTGATGCGTTTATTATTTTCACTGTGTGTTTAGAGGAAACAGGAAACTGACCTGAGATTAAATTTCAAGATAACCTTTGACAGAGCAGCTCGCTATCTTGATGAAAACCTCAGTGACCAGACCTGAAAAAACCAGCAATTCAAACTGAAAATGGAACTGAGAACAGCAGGATGTATATTCCACAAAAGCAATGGCTAGGGTGATGTTTGAAACATACATTGCTATCATTTGGGTACCTGAATACTTTACAAATACTTTAAAATTATTTTGAAAAGCCTGGGAACTTCCTGGGAGGTGAGGCACTCCCAACTCCAGCTGATTTCATTAGCTGTTGGAGACCTGAAGCTATTTCTTCGGGCAGATAATGACCAAGCATTGAGATTGTTGTATAAATATTCTTTTAGGCTCTTGAAGGTAACCATGTAATGAAAGTGGGTTTTTTTTCCATTCCCATAGGTGGTAGTAGGAGGCACAATGGCCTTGAGTTGAAGAAGGAAAAGTTTAAACTAAAAGGACAAGTTCTTTTAGATGAATGCAATTCAATTAATCTCCACTAGCACTGCTCCCTAAGATTAGCATTAATGAGAAATATGCAGCACATCAAAAGACAAAAGACACCCTTATCCTCCCTTATCTTGGCATCTTTTTTTCCTGCTATTTGGGGGAGTGAGTAAGGCCTTTCTGATTGAATATCTGGGGCCTTTGCTGGCATTGAAGGAGTGTAAAATCCAGGGCAGTGGTGGAGTCACCATTCCTGGAGAGAGTTAAAAGAAGTGTACATATGGCACTTGGACAAATGGTTAGCAGTGGGGCTGGCTGTGCTGAGTTAATGGTTGGACTCTCTGATCTTAGAGGCCTTTTCCAACCTAAACATTTATATGATTCTATGATTTATAAAATAAGG